CCTTCTCATTGTCTGAACATTTTAACCCAGATATTATAGCAAAGTCACGAATGGTGAATCGCAAAGTGGTGCCATTCACATGTATCAGGATTGCATCTTTTGAGCTACCCTCAATTTCTCTCAAAAACATGCACCTAATCAGTTGTGCTTGAACATGACACCTACGAATGCTAGATAATTGGGCAAAACATGTTGTTCCACAAAAAATTTTATACTGTGAACTAGTAAGCTTTGTAGCTAACACTTTCATTACTTCAATATTTGTGTAACACTACATGTGAGGTATGCGTGTTGGTTCTCTTTTTCCTAAAAACTTAACAGCCTGAAAAAATGTATATATAATTTTACTAAAAATACACACGTATACATAATTAAGACACAAGTACAGATATCAAAATGTATGAAATAGCTTTTAAATGAAAATAACATATACAAGTTTTATAAAGAAAAAATACATTATACAAACTAATTTCAACTGTATAAATGTTTATATTGTATATATAGATAAATTGTTGTACCGCTACGAATACAATAACTATTGATATTATACTTATACAAATAAATTCAAATGCATAATTATTTACATTGTATATATAGTGAAATACAAACCATTTATGTATGTGTATAAGTTTGTGGAATTGTATATGTCTAAAGGAAGATTATACAAATAGGATCCTTATACAAATGAAAAAAACTTATACATAAAACAATGCACAAAACTGTATAAATGTTTATACTGTATATATATTATACATTATACAATCAATTTCAAATGTATAATTGTTTACCTTGTATGTATAGTTAAATAGTTCTATTTTATACACTTAACTTTGGATATTAACATAGTGACTATATAAAACTGTATAAACAAACAGTTATAAGACATGAATCAACACAGAAAATATAAGAAAAATATAAAATCGTAACATATACAAAAATAATGATTATACAAATACCTCATCATGCTCCAATAAGCCAGAAACAACAACTTCCTTTCTTTTTGCATTCTCTTCTGTATAATTAGTTGTTTTTTCTTTCCTTTTTTTACTTGACCCAGCAGCAGACTGATCTTTCTTACCTCCCTCCACAATTTTGATGTTGGATTGCTTCGATTTTGCACTCATTCCCTCCAATCTGATTGGGTTATTGTTCAATTTGGATTTGATCTCTTGCATTGTGTTGGATTTGGACATTGAACCTGAAACCTCCCCAAAATCCTGAGTTAAACCCAAGGAAAAAGATGGGCGTTCAACACTATTTTCGACATGCAAGGGTATACCTCTTGTGAATCTTTTAGATGGAGATTGGGCATCCATTGTTTAAAGGAAAACTCTGTATGGATTATGAACTGATGTGAAAAATAGCTTGAAAAAAATAGACAAAAATTAAAGTAATCGATTGAGATAAGTTTTGGCGATACCTGAAATTTTTGAAGGGATTTTGAAACCGCGATTGAGAACGTGCTGGTGGAGATTTGAAATTTCAAACTAATTTTGGGGAGAAAATTTGGGAGAAATTGAAGGAAATAAGAGATATAAACGAGAAGAAGATATTGTATAAAAGGAAGAGAATAACGTCAACTTTTTTTTTTTACTTATACAAATCGGTGGGGCCATTAATAGCAAACTGACCGAGACTTTGCTCCTTAAAGGAAATAAATGAAACGGTAGCTACTGTATTTATTTTACATTAAAAGTTTGCCATTATGTACAATTATCCCTACTATGATACTAATCAAAAAAACAATTGTGAGGCTTTCATATATATTACTCCCCATTTGTCTGGGTATAATATATATGTAAAATAAATTAGTTTATTTTAAAGTCACGCGGCGCGAAGCGGGGTGGAGCGGATTGAAACCAATAAATTCTCTCATGCGGCGTGGAGAGGGATGGATTGAACTCTTTGTGGGTTTATGCGGTCACAACCGCCCCGCCCCAGCTCTGTTGCCATCCCTATTTATCACACGATATAGAGGAGAAAATCATGTAGCCTCTGACTATAAGCGTGATGCACAACACAACCATAAGCAAGATTGTACTAGACACAACTTGCACACTCCTATCCGTAGAAAACGATGTTGCTTTGATACAAAACCATCCATGCCTCAACCTCTAAAGGCACAACCGACGCCTAGTGTCAAACTTCACCCAAGAAGACCTAGCTAGACATGTAGGCTATCGGGCATATACAAACCGAACTCAACAACCACAAATGGTCAGAACTCAACAAATAAAAGTCAAGGTTGGGAAAGCTATAATCAGAGAATCCCGCAGCAACAACAATTTTAGCTAACCCAACAGTTCATAATAATAGCATATCAATTGCTATGCGGGCTTACAAGACCATTATAATATCTACAATAGCAAAATGATATAGACGACAAAGATGACATGCTTAATAATAACACAGTAGTAATGCCAATACGTTCGACTGAGAGTGAGATGTACTATGACATGACCCAGCTCTGCAAGCCTCAAGAATATAGTATCTAGTCGGGAGTGGGCCCCGACCTACCCATCAACTATATATAATCACAGGCTCTCAAACTCTAAACCTCGCAACTCTGAATGAAGTGGAGCTTATTGATTAGCTAAAGTCGGCAACATTACTAAAGAAGTCAGGCTACTAGTTTGTTAGTACCTGCAAGCATGAATGCAGAGCCTGTAGACAATAGAGCATTAATACGAAATAAATACCGACTATGTAAGGAAACTGAATAAGTAATAATGATATGATAAAGTACTATAAGTAATCAAATAGGGAGTCTAAAAATAGTCAGAACGTACTTACATGTTTTTGGCTTAAACCTCGGAAACCATATTCAACTCAACAATCAATTCGACCTAACTAGGCCAACTAATGTCATACAAATACAATACTAAAGGGAATCTTACAAGGGAGCAAGAATGGTCACAGCAAAATCCAACAATTCATGCATGGATCATACAACAGTAATTAAACAACTTACCAAGTCCCTATAAAATTGACAAGTACAAATAACAATTAATACACTTGCCCTATCCCCATAAGCTCGACATGTACAAATCAATCTCTATACCCCTATTGGCAATAATTTTGCCCCATAAGCTGTGTAATTGACTAGCTCGTATAGTTGAGGATCCCGTCAGCTCTGTATAGTTGAGGACTCTTTCGGCTCTATACTACCCTTGTTGTATAACTATACAATCGAGCACAAAAGGCTCTATTTGTCTGAGCACAAAAGACCTATCCGAGCTCACAAGGCTCTATATTACCCTTGGGTAAACTACATATAACCTTGAAAACATGAACCATAACTCTGAAGGTAACCACAATCCCCCCTCCCCCTCCCCCCCCCCCCCCCCAAAAAAATTAACCAACCTATGGCCCAAAGGCATCAACACCAATCAAGTGGCCCTAAGGCAAGCAAACCAACTATAAGCGACCTATATGAGTAATCTCTAAGTTGTATCTAAGCACGAGGTCGCTATCATTATAATAGGACTCCCAAAAAGGGACGAACATAACAACTCTAGGAAGCCAACACACTAAACTTATGGCTATGAGTAGCTCATCCAAAGTACGCTTGACATATAGCTTTAACCTTTTAAGAAAACATGCTAAAAGAAGAGAGTAACCTAATCATACCTTTTTCCGTTGACTCCTTGCCATCCAATAACTTTTTCCCACAGCCCCACATTACTATAACAATGAGTTCACTCAACAATCAATAACAAGAAGTACTATGACAATCCGACGAAAGATACAAATTTTCATCCTAAATTACTATTTGTGACTTAAAGTAATTAGAATCCAATAAGAGGAGGGTCTCACCTTGCTATACAAGCTCATAGATAATTAATTTGGGGGTTTTTGAATTGGGGAATTTGGTTGGTTTTTCTCCAAAGAATGATTTATGTAGTTATTCGATTTGGGTATCGATTAACAATCCGTTTTAGCAGATTTTTGACCCACCTATGGGTAAACAAATTTTGGAAGAAATTTTCAAATTCGACAGTAAGGCTCAAGGTTGACTTTTTCACTCAATTTTTGAGGCAATTATGTGCCAATTTGTGTGTCTACGAACTTGTATACTCATCTAAACTACATTTATGACCAAATTGAAATAGTTCAAAGGCATAAAAGAAGAGCAAATCGTTAGTTGTCTCTTGCCTACCCGTGGATTCAATAGCATTTTGAAAGGCTACCTTATTCGAGAATCTCCAAATCTATGCTTATTTTCAACTCCCTAAAGCATTTTGTCGATTACTACACCCTTCATTGTCTTAGGGTGCCTAGGTATCCACATTAACTTTTTGAATTCCAATTAAGGCAAGTTGAAACTTTTTATAAAGTGTTAAAGTGTATTTATTAATTGAATAAAAGGTTAATGGATAATGGAGGTCCGGTATAAAAGAGATAACAAGCATTTCTATGAGTACCAATGCCATGAATATGAAATGCTTTGAGTACCAATGCCATGAATATGAAAAATTGGAGATTTTCTTCCTGAATTGATTAATGTGATTATGTGAGCTTGACTCCTAGTATATTGCACAAGATAAATGCTTGTGTTGCTGACTTGATATCGATGAATTGATTTTAGATGATGGCTCGCGTATGAAATACTTACTAGAGCAAATATTTTCCAAAAAATTTAACCAACCAAACATGAAAATATCATAAACACGCCCTTAGTTTCAATTAATTTTAAAACGACGAACGGAGATAAAAAGTGGCCACAATTTTCAGCCACTTTATTGGCCACCAGGCCCTACTCTTGGATACGTTGAAAGGATCGTTACAATCCAAACATCTTAAAATCAAATATCTTTAGGTACAAAAATCGTTAGTTTGATTTTAAAGTGATATACAGCTCGCTAAATGTACAGAATTTGTTAGAGTTGAGTCATTTACAACCACGAACATACTCAGCATAGATACAATTATGCACAAGTCACAGCTTACAATCAATGACAAACTATAGAAAGGTGTGAAATATCTCATACCAAATAAGCAGAAGCAATACCTTTCATCAAAGTCAAAACTGTCGCAATTCCATCCAACCTGAACAAATTTAACCTGCAGTAAATAAGATATAATGATTTATTAAAAAAAAATTGTATCATCAATAGCTCCAGTTGACTGAGAAGTTTAGAAAAACGAGTGGAATTTCTTTTTGAACTAATTTGGCCACTGGATTAGCTACTACCTATCAAATTCAGAAACTAAATGGACAAAATGGTCCTGCTTCCATGGAACATAAATGAGAAGCTTTTTCGTGTTCAATCTTTTGAAATTGGCGTTACCAATAATTACCACAATTATATACACTTGGGGGCACTGGTATAATGGAGAGTAATACGAACTAGAAGACTGGAACATAAATGAGAAGAGGCAACAATGCAGGCACGCCAGGCTGGGAGCTAAGAGCAACGGATACATGCATGTAGTAAACAAGAATGAATTGTCCAAATTAGGCATTACAGACACTAGAAATACTAAAAGCTTGACAGCAACTGAAGGAGCACAACTGTGTAGTGTGGCTACTACATGGTCATACATAAAATAAAGGGAAATTTTCCATCTGGGAATTGAAGCAAAAAAATAGTAAACCTGAGATTAACAAGATTGCGCGGAGCCTTATAGAAAACGCCTGCGGAGAGGAATCACAAGTCAACACCCTCATCAAGCCCTTTAGAACTGATTATCACATTTGAATCAATTTGTTTATCAAACTTCTGTTTACGGCGGGCTTCAAAGTCTTTGAAGCCATCCATCTGGAAAAAGAAAAGGCAAATAGAATTCTTCATAAATGACTTTTTTAGTACTTGCAGAACTAAATAGTAGAATATTAGTGAGCAACCTGTTGAAATTGGTCCATGGAAATCGGATTTCCATGCAGGGATATGGTCTGCAAGCTCTTGCATTCTCTTAACAAATTTAGAGGCATCTGAACAATCCAGTTACCAAAAGGAAGCATGACTATCAAGTAAAAACATATACTTGATAGGAACAAATACAAAAACTTGGATGATGATGCTTTAAATGGAAGATACATGAAGTTCAATCCAATGACCTCAAATGTGGATCATTATGCGTATTTGGCTTTATTGCTGGTTTGCAATGTAGATGCTACTGGTTGTTTGATTGTCTTCATTTCTTCATGAGGTCTTATTAAAAGGAAAAGCTTTTAGATGCACATTTTAAGGTTAATGTATGAGTTCCCTTTTAACACTCATACACGGGAAGTGAACTAGGCTTACAGATCATGCGAAGAGAGTTCCCAACTCTGCTTAATAGTATTATTAAGATAGAAAGTGAGAGAGAGAGCACATACAAGTATCACCAGTACAACAATAAGTTCAGCTTTTCGGTGTGACAAACAGGTAAGCGTTTGATCCACGTGGTTTACTATTCTTTGCACATTTTATGTGTGATGATGATAGAGACAGACACACACACATGCACAGCAGTTGACTGCAGCACATCTAGGGGTAAAGCACTATATTGGTGCGGGCCACGAGAGCGGTACCAAATCGAGGTAAACTCTGAATACTAGATATGACCTCAAAATAACAAGGGTCACACACATACACACAGGTAAAATTAGACACTAACCTGATTGAGATTGTTATTGTTCAGGCAGAGTGATTTTAGTTGAATAAGATTGCAAACTGATGCAGGAAGCTCTTCAATGGAATTATCTGAAAGGAAATATTGTTATCACGAGGCAAGATTGCCAAAAAAACACACAGTAAACCTCATTATGCCACACTGAGGAATAAGAAACAGAACGTGAAAATCATGTACCAGTTCAAATGGATGGTGCCAAGAATTTTATCTTATAAGCTTAACAGAGAAAAATTGTAGATTTTCCTTTAGCTTTCTAGGTCACCCAACACTCCAATTTTATCATCGGCCATAAATTTCACTTAATTTTATGTTGATGGTAACATGTTTTTTTTTCCTCGATGGATATTTGATACAGAGCTCCAGTGCCAGGAAATAGAGAAATAGCAAGAATGGATGAGTGACAATAAATTTGAAGGTACCATTTGCTTGCAATTCTTCCAAAGAGAAGCAACTTCCAATTGATTCAGGAAAAAACTTTAACTTATTGTTTGAAATGTCCAACAGCACCAACTGCAGTGAAAAACCATTACTGTCAATTCCAAAGGCCTCATTTTCCAAAGAAGATGAATTAAGAATACTTTAAGTATAGGCTGAACAACTATCTCTGACAGACAAAAAACGGCATCATCATATTGAACTGAACTCACAAAAAACAAAACATATTTGGAGTAAAAGTATATGCAAGTGTTTAGAATGATATGAACACTACTAGAGGATAGAGCTAGTTAACTTGATTGAAAAACTTTAATTCATAATCCCATGTCAGCAACCATGAGAATCAGATATACACCTAAAAGTGAACACTATACTTCTTGGTGTTACAATAGGATTGTACATGTGTCCTACATGGAAAAGGATTGTAGTGTATTATCTATAAGTAGACCTCAGTGTGATATTTACGTATCTTAATAATATTTTCTGAGTCTTTGTTTGTCAATGCGTAGAGAATTAAAATTTAGAAAAAAAGGGTCGAATGGAACTTGTACTCTTGAATGCAGAGGGGGGCATGAATTAGACCTATTGTGTTGAGTGATTTATAACACTCCAAGAGACATCGTGATTTTGGGTATTGTAGGTGTAAAAAGTTTGAGGAGGTCAAGGGGGTAATTCGTAAAATGAAAACGGGAAGAGCGAACAGACTAGATGAGATGCCTATGGATTTTTGGAAGAGCGCAGGGGAAGTAGGCATTGAATGGCTAACTAGGCTGTTTAATATCATTTTAGGATGAATTAACTGCCCAAAGAATGGAGGTGGAGGACAATGATCCCGCTGTACAAGAAAAAGGATGATATTCAAAATTACAACAACTATAGAGTGGTATTAAACAACTAAGTCACACTATGAAGGATTGGGAGAGGGTGGTAGAGATGACGATGAGAAGGAAGAGGGATATGTCTATTTCGGAGAACCAATTCAGATTCATGTCAGGGCGATCAACTATGGAAGTCATTCATTTTAGGGTAAAGGGTCAAATATGCTCCTAAACTATTTGAAAAGGTCTAGATATACCCTCCGTTTAAAGTTTGGCTCACTCATGCCCTCACCGTCCAACTTTTGGTCTAAATATGCCCTTATTGGCGTTAGTTGGCCTGCTGGACATATCCAGCTCATTTTTCATTTCTTTAAATGTCACATGGAATTACCATGTCATTTTGACTTTACCACATGGCATTTATATGAAAATGGAAAGGGATCAATTATGCCCCTAAAAAATTCGAGCCCATAAACACCTAATCCGACCCATAAATCAACCCACTTTTTAAATAAACTACCCGACCCGTTTTCAACAATTTTGTTTAAATTTTTTATTTTTTTGATAAATCCCAAAAATTAGTAATTGATTAATAAAATATAGGAAAAATATGAAAAAATATAAAATTAACGCCAAAAATTCACATTGTAACCTTAAATTCAACAATTTCAACAATTTTTTAAAATTTTTATTTTTTTTCGGTAAATCCCAAAAATGAGTAATTTTAATAAAAAATGTATAAAATTAACGCCAAAAAATCACAAACAAATTTAGTAACCTTAAATTCAAAAATTTCAACAATTTTTTTTTAATTTTATTTTTTTCGGCAAATTTCGAAAATGAGTAATTTATTAAAAAAAATAAAAATTAAAAAGAATTGTTGAAATTTTTGAATTTAAAGTTACTATATTTATTTGTGATTTTTTGGCGTTAATTTTATATTTTTTTCATATTTTTTATTAATCAATTACTCATTTTCGGGATTTACCGAAAAAAAATATTAAAAAAATTGTTGAAATTGTTGAATTTAAGGTTACAATATTTATTTGTGAATTTTTGGCATTAATTTTATTTTTTTTTCATATTTTTCCTATTTTTTATTAATCAATTACTATTTTTCGGGATTTACCGAAAAAAATAAAAATTTAAACAAAATTGTTGAAAACGGGTCGGGTAGTTTATTTAAAAGGGGGGGTTGATTTATGGGTCGGATTAGGTATTTATGGGTTCGAATTTTTTAGGGGTATAATTGATCCCTTTCCATTTTCATATAAATGTCATGTGGTAAAGTCAAAATAACATGGCAATTCCATGTGGCATTTAAAGAAATGAAAAATGAGCTGAATATGTCCAGCAGGCCAACTAACGCCCATAAGGGCATATTTAGACCAAAAGTTGGACGGCGAGGGCATGAGTGAGCCAAACTTTAAACGGAGGGTATATCTAGACCTTTTCGAATAGTTTAGGGGCATATTTGACCCTTTACCCTTCATTTTATAATGAGATTGTTGGATGAGTATAGAAATAGGAAGAGAAACCTACAAATGATGTTCATTGACTTAAAAAAAGGCATATGACAGTCCCTAGGAAGATTTTATAGAGATGCTTGGAGCCCAGAGGTGTACATGTGGCATACATTAGAGGGATTAATAACATGTATGATGGAGTCAAAACCCAGTGAGAACAATGGGAGGAGACTTAGAACACTTCCTAGTAGAGATGGGGTTACACCAGGGATCGTCAATTCTTAGCCCATTTTTTATTTACCCAAGTGATAAATGAAGTGACACAATATATCCAAGTGGAGGTACCAAGCTTGGTACATATGGCTTACATGCACCAGCTTGAGGGGGAGTGCTCAAATAGGATTGTACATGGTGCCATACATGGAAAAGGATTGTAGTGTATTGTCTATAAACAATGCTTTGTGTAATAATGTAGTTTACGTCTATTGAAAGTATTTTCCGAGTCTTTCTTTCTCACACTTGGTTCATCAATGAAGAAAAAGACTTGAGAAGAAAAATATTCAATATAAGGAGAGAGTGAAATAAAAAGGAAGAACAGACGGCACTCAGGGTGGTGGACCTCAAGACAACCTGCAATAGAGCCACTTATTCTCCAAATTCAACCACCCTCCCCCAGGAGCTGCAGGACCCTATTCCAAATCCAAAATACTAACACAAGAGAGCAAAGAGACATCATCAACTACCAGGAAGATAATAGAAATTCATGAAGAAGTGGCATCACTATAGAAATAGAGAAAAAAAAGTAGGGCTTTCAGTTTCAAGAACAGAAAGTTGTAAGCAAAATGATCCATCAATATGGATATCACTATGCTGAACATTTTCTACAAGATTGACACCATTTCATTAGACACCTTAGCACCTTTATACTCGGGAAAAAAAATAGCAAAGCAGTAAAGCAAGCTAAGAAATAATATATTAACTGGCACACTTTTTAGAATTGCGGAAGATGGCACCGTATAAGCCATCAGAATGGATCACTCACATTCTGCAATCTCCCAATAGTCTCAGGCAAGCTCATTAACAAGTTTGATGAGACAGACAAACGCTCAAGCTTCACCAACTGGCCCACTGAATATGAGAACATAATGTTGTTAGACTAGAGAGTGTGATACTCTATAGCAGAGAGAATCCTGCTTAACTTCACATATGATCTAGGACGGTGGGAAATTACATTCATCAGGCAATGCTCTGATTTGATTCCCATCAAGTGTTGCAACTTTCAAAGACTTAAGCAATCCCAGGTTCACCGGGAGATTCTCAATAAGGTTATCAGCCAAAATCTGAAAAGAAATAATCAGACTCAATTTTTTGGATAGAATTAGATATAACAAACTCTTTATTAAAATTTCTTTTTAAGAGAATACACCCTACAATATGTCAATATCAATAGTATTCAGCATGAAAACCCAGATGAAGAGTCCCTTAAGAATAAATGAGAAGCAGACACCTTTCAGTTTTGCCAGGTAGAACTGATTTTCATCCCAGTAGAGTCTTGAGGACTCTTTTTTTTTTTTTTGATGAAGTAAATGTTCCATTGAAGGCATCAAGAAGATGCAAATTAGTTACAAAAGTAGAAGCAAAAACAGTTGGTCTGCTGGCTCAAGTATAATTATGCTAAAACTAAGGAGCCAACAAAATTTGAAAAACTATCCAGGGAATCTACATAGGACAAATTAACCCAACTGTACAGACACATAAGGCATTCCGCTTTGAGAGAATGTAAAGGAGTTGATAGACCTTCAAAACATCTTCTGTTCCTTTCCCTCCAAATACTCCAAAAAATTGCTGCAGGTATCATCTTCCAAGTCTGTTTGATGGTGCTGTCAACTTTCCAGCAACACCAACTCTCATAAGCTTCTTTGATACTATGTGGCATGACCCAACTGAGTCCAAAAAGAGAGTAAAACATGTTCCACAATTTTGCTGTAACAGTACAATGCAGAAAAAGGTGCCTATTGCTCTTTGCTGCTTTCTGACATAAGTAGCATCCATTCACAATGATGCGTTTCCTTTTATAGAGGTTGTCTTGAGTTAGGCATGCTTCATATAGTGCAGTCCAGCAAAAACAGACGATCTTGGGCGGTAGCTTGATTTTCCAAATTAATTTCCATGGCCAGTGGTCAGTGACTGCATTAAATGCTCTTGACTGCTTGTAGGCTGCACTCGCTGTGTAATTCCCGTCTCCTGTAGTACCCCATTTGAACTGATCTGTTGCCTGAGTGTTGAGAGAGAAACTCTGTAGAGTCTGTAGTAGTTTGATCAGGTCATTAAACTCCCAATCCTGCATATTCCTTCTAAACATAATGCTCCAGGTTGTTCCATCTCTATTTTGAGAAATTGTTGAGTCTGGATCCCTGGCTAAGTTGAAAAGACTTGGATAATCACCCATCAGAACTGTGTTGCGAAGCCATTTGTCTTTCCAAAATCTGATATGAAGTCCATTCCCCACTGTGAAGTGCTTATGCTGAGAAAATTTCTCCCATAGCTTGCATGTGTTTCCAGACTCCGACCCCATAAGGTGCTTTTGAAAGACTGGTGCACCAATGACTCTGTATCCCATGCTTTGCACTGACCACATCCTTCCATAAAACATGTTCCTCCTGTGTGTATCTCCATAACCATTTCATAAGTAGACACTTATTATGCAGCGCCAAATCCTTGATCCCTAACCCCCCCTGTAGTTTAGGAAGAAGGACTTTTGGCCATTCCACCAGATGATACTTGTGCTTCTCACTATTCCCTTCCCATAGAAAATCTCTCCTGATCTTGTCAAGTTGTTCCAACACTTTGCCAGGAATAGGAAAAAGTTGCATATAGTATGTGGGAATACTATCAAGTACACTGTTGATCAGTGTAAGTCTGCCCCCTGTCGATAGGTACTGCATCTTCCAGGAGGCAAGTTTTTTCTCAAACTTCTCAATAACTCGTCCCCATATAGCTGTTGACTTATACTTTGCACCCAATGGCAACCCCAAATAGGTTGCCGGGAATTCACCCACACTACATCCCAAGATACCTGCTAATTCCTCCAAGTTTAGCACCTCATTAACAGGATAGATCACACTTTTTAGCATATTGATGTGCAAACCTGAGAGGGCTTCAAAAATCAAAAGGGTTAGATTCAAATAAAGAACTTGACTCCTGTTTGCCTCACAAAATATCAGAGTGTCATCTGCATAAAGCAGATGAGAGATGTTTGTAGTGATCATGCTCCCCACATCAAAACCATTCAGCCATTGCAATTGCTTGGCTTTATCTATCATTCTGCTTAAACCCTCCATTGCAAGTATGAAGAGAAAAGGAGAAAGTGGATCTCCCTGCCTCAAACCTCTTTGTGGGGAGAAAAACCCAACTGGACTTCTGTTGATGAGAATTGAGTATTTTACTGTAGAAATGTTGAAATTGATCCAATTGATCCATCTTTCACCGAACCCCATTTGCCTAAGGATGGAAAGAAGATATGACCAATTCAACTGATCAAAGGCCTTCTCTATATCCAACTTGCATAAGATGCCCGCCCCTCCGTTTTTTATTTTCCAATCAAGAACCTCATTTGCAATCAGTGAGGCATTAGTGATTTGCCTATCTTTAAGAAAAGCATTCTGGTGTTTAGAGACTAGCTTTCCCATAACTGTCTTTAACCTTTCTGCCAGGACTTTAGCTATGATCTTGTAGACACTCCCAATTAAACTAATTGGCCTATAATCTTTGAGTTCTATTGCTCCTTTTTTCTTGGGAATGAGAGCTACGAAGGAGGCGTTGCATGATCTAACCATCCAGCAATGTTGATGGTAATGGTTCATAGCTGCCAGTATGTCAACTTTGATGAAGTCCCATGATTTCTGATAAAATGCCATTGTGTACCCATCTGGCCCTGGTGCCTTGTCGGGAGCGCAAGACTGAATAGCTGCCAATACTTCCTCTTCTTGAAAAGTTGCTTCCAGATTAAACTTTTCCTCAACTGAGATGGATGGAATGCCTTCAAAGTTGGCTGAAGGCCTCCACTGTTCAGGTTCAGTGTACCCACTTTCGTAAAAATCAACAGTTTCTTGCTTGAGGACTCTTGTACAGATTACAACTGATTTTTTGTTTTTTTTTAATAGATTTTTGGAGTACCAGAAATATGTGTTGGTGTAGGTCCACTTCTTGTATACCACTAGTATACTTGGTGTAAGACCCCGAAAATTCGAACCTTGAAAAAATCAGATCAAGATTGGAAGTGTGGGGACCAGCAAGGATACTAAAGTCCAAAAGTGATTAAACATACTAGAACATGCGTGGAAGTACTTTGAGCAATAAGCGTGGATTTTGGGTGTGACACTTGGGCTTTTTACCCACCACATATTACCTCGTTGACAAAAAAATTGACTTTCATTACAGCTCCTTCACAGGGCTTTTTCCTCCTAAGACTTATCCTATGATAGCTTAAAATCTCTCTTTGAAGTTAAGCTGTCAGCATATCTTTAATTTTGTGTTTGCCATTATATTTTGGACAAATTGTTACTGCCTTAACCTTGCATTTCCAACAGAGTAACACAGTTAATATTTACTAAAAGACACATCTAATCATGAATTTCCCTCAATCTGGATTTAGCATGCCCGTTTATAGTAGGTTGAGCATACACCTGCACCCGGAAACTTCGATGGAAACTTGGTTTATATAGGTAATTATCATGATATCTTAGAAATAGATACACAAAGGCACCAGAATGCAAAGTAGAGGTTCGTGCACTTGGCGAAAGATCTTTTCAAGTCCTACATGTCTATGATTGCGGGTTCTAATCTCCTTGGAGGCATTAGCTTTCACACAACAGCCCATTTCCTCCCTTCTTGTTTTCCTTGTTCTTTTACATTTGTTCCCCAATATATTTACGCAGGTTGTGCCCTACCGGCCTTTTTTTATTTTTCTTTCCCTTGGAGCCTTTGTTTTTCTATTTTCTTCTCTTTACTTTTGTTCTTCTATTATTTTATGCTATCAATTCTTCCTCTGCCTCAGTTTAGAGTAAAAGTGGATGATTTCAGTAGAACTTTTCATAGTTTCTAAAAATTAATTTTAATTAGTTAATGTGCATTTATTTGTTTCTTGCTTATTTACAAAACTAAACCTGTGATAGCTTTCTGTGCCTTTGGATATTTGTTATTGATTGTATTATTCCTGAAGTTCAATATATAGATTAAAGAGAATAAGCTCACAAAAGTTAAAAGTATTATAAATGTAAACTATCTAACAAAAATACTAGGGGATTTCTTCTCATCTGTCCTAGCCTTGGTGGACATACAGGTGGGAGGTGGGAGGTACCCTGTGGAATTAGTCAAGGTGCACACAAGCTAGGTCGGGTACCACGGTTATCAAAAAAAAAAAAAAAAAAAAAAAAGTAAACTATCTTATTGATTGAATCCCAAATGCTGGGGTTTTTTGGGTAACAGTGGTGTCCAAGTCAACTTGTGTGCACCTCAACTAATTCCACAAGAAATTTGTCACCTCCCACCAGTAACAGGTATCATATAACTATGTCTACCAAGGCTAGAACAAGTGGAAAGAAATCACTTAGCCTTTTTGTCTCTGTTGGGATTTGAATATGAGGCCTCATGGTTCTCAACCCAATTTATTGACCACTTGGCCACTATGTTGCTCGGACTCTTCAACAATGTCTATGGGTGCGTGTCGGATGGCCACAAATGGGTGCACAAAATGTTGGTTGATGAGTGGTTCATTTGTTAAAAACCTTATGACATAATTTAACAAAGTAGTATTATCTTGAAATTCTATGTGATAGATATCTTTCTGCCTCCTCAATATGTAATGCATAATTCATGTCCTTGACTGATCTCCAACAAGAAGAATACTTCTTCCATTCTATATCATCTTTGTATTAGACTATTGGAATGCAAATGTTAGAAAATTGTTAGTGTTAAGTAAGTCCCACAGAGAATTTTATCTCACACCTTTAAATAAGTGTGTTGCATATTTCATTATCGTCAAGTTAGCTTCCCTTTTTATTCTTCTCACAAGATCCCAGGCCCTACAATCTTAGTAGTGTCATACTAAGTTGCTCGGACTCGAGTGCGGGTGTTCGATACGGGTGCGGATCTAGAGGTCAGATCTGTTATGATCTAATTTTTAAGATTCGGGAATATGGATCCATGTATGGATACAAGTGCGGGGATTCACCAAAAAATAATTAAAATATCTAAAAATAGAGTTATAAAACCTAAATTATGAGATATTTTGTGGAGAACTTGACGAGAATCGTGGAAGGAGATTAAAGGAAAAGGAGTGACAAATTTCTGTATAAAAGATATTCCATTTTCTTTAATTTCATCTTAGCTTTGGTATTGATTATAGAAATCGTTAAAACTGTCCAGACTTTCCCCATCGATTTTGGTCAAAGTACCCAAATTGGTTGACCAAATCGGACACGGATCTCACACCCATGTCATGTCAACACGGGTGCGGCACCAAAAGTAAAGAGTTTGAGCAACTTAGGTGTCATCTGTAGCTTCCTCCAACCAGCAAATGGCCTTACACTGCAGAACCAAAGTGGAAAGATGCCTATTTTTTTAAATATACAAGAAACAACTATGTCATCCATTCTTTAAATAAAATTATATTAGCGAGACTCCAGTGGTTGGTACTTTTTTTCGAGGACTCTCGGCTAGATTTTCCAAGAGGTTTTCTGGCGACACTAGATTTCCCCGTCTTAATTTTAAGGGGTTAGAATGTCAAATGCAAGTGTGTTAGCATATTGGAGTTTCATTTGGACCTTATCATAGATTTATATGTTAGTTGAAGTATAAAGAACTTCTAATTCATTTTTTTATTATTTTGCTAATAACCAAACTTCTAAATTTCATTAGAAGTAGTAGTTGTATTACTATTTCTTATTTTTGAAACTGAAAAATAAATAAGTAATAGTAATACAACTACTAATAATAATATATAGAAGTAATAGTAATAATATCAGTAATGGTATTGCTATTACTTATATATATTCAATAACTTATGTTTCACCTTTTTTTTTATGACGACATTAGTTGAGCTTATATGAGGAAATGTGGTCAGTGAAGATTCATATAGGTGACCCCAATTTGTTTGAGACTGAGCCGTAGTTGTTGTTGTTAGGATATTGGAGTTAGTGTCAAGTGTTAATGTTGTTGGACTTTGTGAAAGTTTTTGAGTTGGTCAAAGCTTACTCGTGCTTCCAGAAGAGATAGGAGCACTTGGAGACCTGCCATAGTGCGGTGGTTAAGACTCAGATAGACTATGTGCTCCTTAGGAAGTGCGATAGAGTTTTGTTTAAGGATTGCAAGGTTATTCCAAGTGAAAATCTTACAACCTAACAGCTCAAGATTATGGATCTAGATATCAAGAGGATGAAGAAGAAGAAGAAGGCAAGGGTCACATGTGACCAACCAAGGATTAGATGGGGAGGCTTAACTACAGCCAGACCCTTGATGATTGGGGTGAAGTTGGCTGCTATGGTATCTTATGGGAGTAGTGGGGACTGCGGACATAGACAATATGTGGTCTAAGACAGCTGATTGCATCAGGATAGCAACTAGAGAGGTGTTGGGTGTCTCAAGGCCAGGTGGACACAAAGAGGATTGGTGGTGGAATGGAAAGGTTCAAGGAAAAGTGGAAATTAAGAAGGTTCTTAGGCTAAATATTAATGGAAAAAATAACAAGGAGAACAAAAGGAGGAATAGGAGAGGTATAAGATGGCGAAGAAGGAAGCAAAGCTAGCGGTGACGGTAGCTAAATGGCAACTTTTGAACACTTGTATGAAGAGCTTGAGTGCAAAAAAAGCAATAGAAAGTTGTATAAGCTCGCCAAGGCGAGAGAGAAGAGGGAACAGGTCTTAGACCAAGTGAAGAACATAAAGAACGAGAATGATAAAGTATTGGTCGAAGAGATGCACATTAGACTAAGATGGAAGACATATCTCCATAAACTCTTGAATGAAGAAGGGCAAAGGGATATCATGTTGGGGGAGCTAGAGCCTTTTCAAAGTCAAAGAGATTTTTCGTACTGTAGGTGCATTAACACCGCAAAGGTTGAGGGAGACACTCGTAAGATACGGAGAAGAAGGCAACTGATTCAGATGAGACCCGGTAAATTTTTGGAAGAATACCGGCAAGGCAAGTATTGAGTGATTGACTAGGTTGTTTAATGTCATTTCTAAGAAGGCAAAAATGTCGAAAGAACAGAGGTGGAGTACAACATATCCATTGTACAAGAACGAGGGTGATATTCAGAATTGCAACAACTATGGGAGTGTAAAGCTACTAAGCCATACGATGGAAGTTTGGGAGAGAGTGGTCGAGATAAGGATAAGGAAGGGTGTGTCTATATCCGATAACCAATTTGGATTCATGCCGGAGCGATCAACTATAGAAGCCATTAATCCTGTAAGGAGATCGCTATAGCAGTAAAGAGATAGGAAGTTAGACTGATTAACCAAGAAAAGTGGTACAACAAAGTCCCTAGGGAGGTCCTTTGGAAATGTTTGGAGTCTAGAGGTGTACCTATGGCTTATATTAAGGCAATTAAGGACATGTACGATAGACCCAATACCCGAGTTAGAACAGTGGGAGGTGATTTAGAACATTTTTCCGCCATCATAGGGTTGCACCAGGGATCAGCCCTTAGCCCATACCTATTTGCCTAAGTGAAGGATAAATTTACATGACATATTCAATGGAATGGTGTCGTTCGTATATTATTCAAAGACGAGATAGTATTGATTGACGAGATACGCAGTGAAGTTAATAATAGGCTAGAAGTTTAAAGGTTTCAGGTTAGGCAGACTAAAACCTAAAACTAAAACCTAATACCTGGAGTGCAAGTTTAGTAACATAACACATGAGGCAGATGAGGTGGAAGTGAAGAACGAGTACAAGTCATATCCAAGAAGTCATATCCAAGAGAGAAAGTTTCAAGTATCTTGGGTCCATAATTCAAGGAGACAAAAAAATTGATAAGGATGTCGCACACCCCATTTGAGCGAGGTGGCTAAAATGGTGGCTTGCATCCGCAATACCGTGTGATAAGAATGTGTCCACAAGGTTAAATGTAAGTTCTACACAGTGGTGGTTCACCCAACTTTGTTTTATGGGGCAGAGTGTTGACTAGTTGAGTCGGGGAAATGAGAATGCGTAGATGGATGTGTATACATACTAGGAGATGTATGATTAGAAACGAAGTTATGTGAGGCAAGGTGGGAGTTGCCTCCGTGGAGGACAAAATGAGTAAAGCAAGGTTGAGATGGTTCGGGCATGTGAAGAGGAGGTGTGTGGATGCGTCAATAAGAGGTGTGAGAGGTTGACTATAATAGAAGTTAAAAGGGGTAGAGTTACACCGAAAAAGAGCATGGGGGGGGGGGGGGGGGGGGGACTTTATCTTTACCAAGGACATGACGTAGCTAGAAAAGGGTATGTTGTTGTTAAGTGTTAATGTTACTTTAGCCTCATTGGTTAAATATAAGATGTGAATTGTATCTCACACCTCTAGATATGTGTTCCATTATCATCAAGTTATCTATTAATTATCTTCCCTTCTCTTATCTTATCACATTGACAACATCATGTCCTCCAAAAGAAGCTAACTTTTCCTTGTTCAATTTCTCTTCCACAACAATGACAGACACTCATTACATTTTAGTTGTACCAATTCTGCAAATACCATGTACCTTTCTCCTAAATGACTTCTGGCAGCAGGAATATGACTGAAAACTCGACCTAGCTTTCATTATGAGATGTGGACACTGAAAATATAATAAGGTTTTCTAAACAGAAAAATGAGACTGCTGAGACACAAGGTAGGTACCAAATATGTAGTCAGTAGTACTTACTAGACGCTGCAAGTTAATTAGCTTGTTGATCTCCATGGGAATTTGAACTGCCACAATGGAGAAACTGAGAGATTAGCTTCAGAAACGATAAAAGCTTCAGGTAAATAAGATCAGACATATAAGCGGAGACAACAATTTCCCCAAGTAACACGGTTAAATTAGTTGTCAGTAGAACATGGAATTGATAGTGATTTGTTTTTGTGCTCTAACTGACTAGACAAATATGAATCAGAAGCTTGAGAAATTTGAGCAATACCCAATTTATTGTGCGTCAAGTCGAGGGTGCGTACAGATCTCTCCAAGGAAATAACTTCATCGGGAAAAGACTGTCATGGAAAAAACAGTCTGGAGATCATAAGACTAACAGAAAGGATTAACCTGTATGTCCCTTATCTGTCAATATTTACATTTCTTCACAGTAAGCATTATTCATTTGAAACCAGTAAACTAACAAGTAACAAGCATGCATGCATCTGATTGTATATCTGTGCCTATACATAAATGCACACACACAAGACAATGACACCTCGCGATTAAGCAAACATATTTCATCATTGCACTGTGGACCCTTGGCAGTTTAGGAAGGTAAAGATCCACTCCCATGAGAATTGCTCATAGTCATCGCAGGAATACATTAAACTATCTACTGGTGTCAATGCCGCTAACGTAGTAACTCCCTCTCTCTGATTTGTGAGGCACAATCTACTCCCCAACAGTCAAATTAAACCAATTCTCATGGACATCATTTAGTTTTTGAAAACAAATTTGAAATTTATGTTAAAACTTAAAACTAGCATGTGATCTTTGTGGTGAAATGTTAATTACCTCCAGCTACCTCAGAGAACAGAGAACATTCTTTTTTTTCTAATAACCATAGTGTCGGGGCCAGCTTGCACTCACCTTGACTAATTCCAGTGGATACCTAAACCAGTCGGTAACTCTGTCCACCAAGGCTAAACCAGATGGGAAGAAATCACCCGGTGTTTGTCTATGATGGAATTCGAACCTGAGACCTCAGGGCAGGGGCGTATCAAGAGAGGGTGCAGTGGGTTCACGTGAACCCATGCTCCCCTCTCTAGATCATATATAGTAGTGTTATATTTTAAAAAAAATATTTAAATATAAATGTGTGAACCCACGTTCAAAGTATGATATATTAATATAATGATGATTGGGTGCACCTCTCTAAGTGAGGATAGAAATTTAATCATATATCTATCTTGTCTTTTTAGTAACACCTCTACAAGTGGTTATCGGTAACATTTTTGGCGTTTCAACTGAATTTTTTCTTTTTTTTTTCCTTTAATTTTTCAAAATTTTCAAGTGTGTTACATTGAAAATTCCTAAAAAATTTAGCACCGTAAAATTTTATTATAATTAAATCAAATGTGCGTAGTAAAATTTAAAAGTAGTAGTATTATATATGTTGAACCCAGTGTTTTAAAAGGCGGGGGCGTGAGGCGAGGCGTTTTATATAGTACAGGGTGAGGCGTTTTATATAGTACAGGGTGAGGCATAATCCCCGAGACACGGGGCGTAAGTCCCATGGATCTACGGGGCGTAGTCCCATGTATATTCAATTTTATAGTTTTATTACTAATAAAATAAGCAAAAGTAGACATTTCAATGATTTATGATTTATGATTTTTATTTGAGATAAGTATTAATAATCAATAATGAAGAAAAAAAGTATTATAATTACTATTTGAGAAATATCATTACACCAATAGTAAAAATATGATTTAAAGCAAAAATAATTCAAAAATAAATTAAGAATTCCCGGACGTACGTTTTTACCCCCCAGGACTTACGTTTTTATGCTTGGGGCTTACGCCTCAAATTTTAGGACATACGCCTTATGGATCTACTTTAATTTACCCCCCGGAGCATTTTTGGTATGCCCCTCCCCAAGACTCGCCCCAAAAACATTTTTGAAAACACTGGTTGAACCTATAATTTTTATAAAATTTAGTGGTTCATATTAAGAACCTAAAAGTCAAACCAATCAAATTTATACTTGAGATGCATTTTTTGTAAGCGTGCACCCATCTTGCCGATATCCTCCGATATCCTGGATACGCCTCTACCTCAGGGTGCTCAACCCACTTCATTGACCACTAGGCCACACCTTGGGTGCCAAACAGAGAACATTCTAGAAGGAGAAACATGAATTAAATTCTCGTAAGTCTAAATAGTGAACTTAACCTGGCACACAAACTTTGTGCTCTTAGGAAATCTACTACAAAGTTTCATGAAGGATAACATCCAAGGAGATATCCAGCTTACTCTTATCCTGCATTCCAGAAAATATTTAGAGACCTCGTCTATACATCACAAGAAGGTAAAACACATATCGACCCATAAATAGTGATGTTACCTGAAATTTACTAATCCTAAAACAAAACATAGAAAAAAAAAAAAAAAGGGAATTGGCAAAAGAAACAACACCAGAATCTGAAATACCACAAGAAAACAAGGCATATAAGCAAAACACCACAATCAATTCCAAAATTAGTTGCGACTGACTATATAAATCCATTAACCCTAGCCGGGCGGATATTAAATACAATTTATTCAGTGAGGTAATAGGGAGAGAAAAAATGCCTTCAATTTGGAGTCGCTTAAAGCAACGATGCCAGTTGAACGCCATCGCGCCATGCGGGTAGCCTTAGTATCTGCGGCTTTGCTACTGCAACACCCCATTATCACTAGCAATTTGAAGAGGACGAATGCGAGAGAGTATTTTTTTTGTGCACTACTTATAGGGTTGACGTTCGATTCCTCCAACTCTCATTTCATTCCACTACTGACACTGACATGAAACTGCGTCCCTTTCGTTTGGTTTATTTTTGGTCAAATTGCAAAGTTAAAAGTTTTGTTTAAGGAGTGACATGTGTTTATGATTTGTGCTGTTTGGCAATCGTCATTTAAATTTTTTCTTTAAAAAAAAATGGGTTAAATCTATCTATCAGTAAAATCACTCGCGCTTTGCACGAGAATTTAATATTATTGAATTTATAAAATAATACTTAAAATCTTTGAGTCATTAAAACTAAAACACTATATTATATTACATACAAGATTACATATAACAAACATTAATAATATAAAGGAAGATGATAATTATAATATCTTATCATTTATCCTTCAATCAATCATCTTTAATTTGATTTTATAATTTATCTTTTTGCCGAGGAAGTGTTATTACTTGATATTTTTGGGGATTCAAATGAACATCAATCATACCGGAGATATTAAATTTTCTAATAAATAAAAAATCGTTGGTGAAGGGATAAATAAATTTTAAAAGGATTAAAAAAATGAACAAATATTCTAATTCTAACGTGTAGATAGTTCAGCTCTACCTTTTGTTTTACATATATCATTTTAAAGTTTCACATTTAAATGTATCATAAGTAATTATTAAAATGAAAAATTAAAGGGAGAATGTATCATATTGAACAACAATTCAACTTATTATATATACTTGAAAGGGAAAAAGATTACACAAATTATTCAGTTTGTTTGGGTGTTTTTTAAAAATCAACATACCAAAGTGATGAAGTTCAATTTGAAACTACTCCTCTATTCCAATCACAGTGTCGAGAAACACATCTATTACTTCAAGAAAAAATTTACAACTTGTAGTAAACTTGAGAATCTGTCCATACTTCATATTGAATATGAGCAATTAATTTATTGTGTAGTTATCTATGTCTTTGGGATTAAAAGAGGCTCCCGTCTAGTCATATTCCTCTATAGGTCATCCGGCACATCCTTGAACCCATGTCACTTCTCTTCCTGGTTCACTTCGCACATCAAGGTGCGATAAAGTTTTTAAGGTCTTTCTGTCCTTACAATGGCATACTAAATTTGAATTTTGTCTTCAAGAAATAATAGTATAGATCTTTAAGGAATTTTTTTACTGTACCTTCAACAATTTCAGTAGAGAAAACTTCCGTGAATACTCAATTAACGTGTGTTGTTTAATCTGTACTAACAAATACTTAGACAATAATTTGCAGAAACATAAACAACAAAGTTTAAAACATGTACTCAAAAACAACAATTAATAACATAAACATAAATTAATGACTTTAAAAAAACATTCCAGGATTTGTAACAATAGGATGAAACAGAAAGGAAAAAATTGTACAGGAATATTTAATTGTATAGAAGAAGTTCAGAATTTTTGTTGTTTTAAAATTAGAGAAAATCCCTCTATTTATAGCTAGACAACAAAGGGTAGTGTGAACAAATGTTTATTGTGCCTTATCGGAGAGGTCATAACTCTTTGGAAAAGTTACAACCCTTCGGAAAGGTCATAACCTTTCATAAAAGACACAATTTTTCATAAAAGTCGCAAGTCTTCATAGAAGTTACAACTTTTCATAAAAGTCGCAACTCTTCATTAAAGTCGCAACTTTTCATGAAAGGGGAAGGCTAGTTTTGTAAATATATAAATTAAAAAAGGAATCCTGGTTTGTGGTGGCACCAAGGTGGGCCTAGGGTTCTCTTATATATATATATATATATGTTTTCATAAAAGTCGTAACTTTTCATATAAGTCGCAACTTTTCATTAAAGTCGGAGAAAATACATAATTACCCCATCGAACTTATACCTTTTTTGAAGTAGACACCTTAAGTTTGTGAAAGTCCTATTACCCTACGAAATTATTTCCAACCACAATAAATACACCATTTTAACAGCACTTGCAGTCTCATTGTCAGCGAGTGTGTCTCACCCCCCAAATAAAATAATGTAACTTTATTTTTTCTTGGTCCCTTAATAAAGGGTTGGGTAAAATCCAAACCCACTCAATTATTGACAGATTCCCTTTTTTATCTTTAACATATTATACATAAATCATGACGAAGATAACATTCTCGATCACTGGAAAAAGTTTAGAAATTACATTGCAGATGTTCATAGAACTTTAACAGTAGTTGATAGAAGAAGCTTCATCATTGGAGAACTTCATACTGGCATATCATGACCTTCATCGATCTATCAGTTTATGGAACTCTAAATGGTACGAACGTGCATTAGTCTTTGCAGTCCAAGGTGTATTTTTCAACTCATTCCTATTTGGCGTTCCTAAAGTTAGCTAATCGGATTGTTGGGTACTTAGAGGAAGAAGCAGTAAATTTGTAAACAGAGTTTTTTGGTTGATATAGATAAGAAACCTTTTGAGAACTCACCAAACTCCAGAAGTTCATATGGTATCTGACGGAGGTTTATAGATCGAATTATTGGATTGACGGAAGATAATTTTTTCTTTGGCTGCACATAGAGAGCTCTTCAATGGCCATCAATTGAGGTTTGTGTAAGATGGGAAGTGGTCTATTTAATAAAGAAAAGAAATTTTTAATTAGTGATGCCACATGGCACTAAAACACTGGTTTAGGGGTTAATTTTGACTCATTCACGCGCCTCTCAAACTTGAGATCGCACATGCTCTGAAAATGGGTTAAAAAGATGTATTTATCATGGTTAAAAATAGTTTCGTGGGGTAATAGGACCCCCGCAAACTTAAGGTGTCTACTTCAAAAAAGGGTATAAGTTTGATGGGATAATTATGTATTTTCTCTTAAAGTCGCAACTTTTCATGAAAGGGGAAGACTAGTTTTGTAAATATATAAATTAAAAAAAAGGAATCCTGATTTGTGGTGGCGCCACATAGGCGGGCCTAGGGTTCTCTTATATATATATATATATATATATATGTGATAATAGGAGAGGTAAAAAGTGTCACATGTCATCTCCACAAAAATCCAATATTTTCACGATTCAAAGCAAAATTGAAAATCTTTTAAATCTGTGTCAGAAATTAACCTAAAAAAAAAGAGTAACAACCTAAAATTAAAAATCGTTACTTTTTATAATTTAAATTTAAATTTTGAAATACAATTTCTTAAAATAATTTAAAAAATAAAATTCAAAGTTAAATAAATTTTTTAAAAATAAAAGACATATTTTTTTACGTCTTTTAGTATTATTTTTTTAAGTACTTTTTATTAATCTATTTTAATTTTTTTAAATTGAGAAGTTATCTACTCTCAATATAACTCTACTACTTTTCACCACAAAAATATGTCAGTTTTAACTGAAATAACATTTAAAAAATAAAAGACATTTTTTATGTCTTTTATATTTTTTTAAAATACTTTTCGTTATTTTTTTTTTAATTGAATTGTTATTGATTTCACGTATCAGGACACTTCATCCAATACTAAGTGTCAACGATCATTAGTAATATAACCCAACTAAGTGAGTTGGGGTCAAGTCCCAAGGGAGTGGTTCGTAATTGAGAATCAATAGGCAAGTAAGAATATGGTCTAGTCAATCATAGCTAAAAACATTTACGAATAAAAGCATGGTTTAAATTATAGATGACACAAGTGTCAAATATCAAGAGGGTTTGTTTGTATTATCAACTAAAATAGCAAACAACACGAAAATACGAATATGGAGACGAAATTCTTGGGATGTGATTGGATTATGGGCCAAGGTAAACAACCGGGTAATTGCAATTAATAGTAAACAGCTGCAAATCAGGGAATAAGCTAGACTTTAGTGGGTAAACTTTCTCTCGAACAATTTACCCCGAATCAAATTGGTTTTTCTCGAACACCAATAAGCAGCAATGAAGCACAACATTCGCTTTAGTCCATTCACTCTCTCGAGCTGAATGTGTGGAAAAGGGTTTAGGATTCACTCCCTTGAGCTGAACCCATGACAACCCAATACCCACAGACCATCGATTCAGTAATTTTGGTTTTAAAACCTCTCTCTCGAACAAGCCAAAAACATGAAGATAAGATTGTATTTGCAACTACAACCCACTAAGTTTAACCATGATTACTGAACGAAATCACTTTTAAACATCAAATAAACTATCAATTAACAATACCCAGCAGTTAAATCAACCCATAATCACACCCCAAGAATTGGGGTTTTAGCTAGACATAGTAAAAGGTAAAAATCGTTACCAAGTTGTGTTTCCATCAACTGGGTAGGATTGATATAGTTTATACAAAGGTCTAAGATGAAGAATCTTCAACACCCACTTCCAATTTCTCAGAAATGAAAATCTTCAAATCTTCAAAGCTAAGGAAATATTGTCTCCAAAAAACTCAGTTCTAAGCTCTCAACTTCAAACTGAATGTTAGATTCTAAAAACTCTCCCCTAAACTAAGAATTTAAAAACGTATTTATAGTTATCAAAAATGTTCTACGAAGGACCATTCGGTGCAGTAAGTCGGGATCGCTGATCCACTCGGTGATCCGCCCTTTGATCAATTTCATCGCCTTTTTGCTTTGGCCTTCAGCATCTTCAGGTTTTGTAACTTTGGGCGATATGGCACTACATCGCGGAACCGTTCGGTGACTCGCCGACTGCTCATTTCTCTCGCCGACTAGATTCTCCTTCAGGGCTTGGCACTCTGGAACATTAGGCGAGACACTAGCCGTTCGGCGACTCACCTAATGGGTTAGGCGATCCTCAGGCCTTCTTTCCTTCGTTCTTTCAGCTGCCTTGTTCCATTTTGCTCAATAGTGTCCATGCTTTGTTCCTTAATCCAAATACCTGAAATTCAAGGATTTACATCAGTTATTGGCACAACATATGCATTTGAGGACACTAAGTCTATTCAAATAAAGCCCTAAATGAGTTCAAATCGTGGACTCATCAACACCCCCAACTTAAACTGTTGCTTGTCCTCAAGTAAAACTCAAGTTCAGCAGTTCAAAAAGGATGTCTCAAACAGTGTTACACAAGACTCAATCATGAGTGCACACAAAAAG